GAAAAATAATAGTGGGCTTCTCCAAAGTCACACTTTATTGACTTCACAAGAGCTATGTATACTTACAATAGCTTTATACAACATCTCAGTAGCTTCTGAAATTACACCTCAAAGGCTTCCTCTATTAGTCACTTCTGTCAACCTAAGGAAGGAAATGTTTGAGTTCCAGAGTGCTGTCCATTGTGATGGGGAAACCATGGCAGCAGAAACTTAAAGCTGCTGGTCACATTTCACCACTGTCAAGAAGCAGAGAGCCCACTGAGTGCTCATGCTCAGCTCATTTTCTCTTGGAATGGGGCCACCCACAGTTAACCTGGGTCTTGCCTTTTTCTAGATTAACCTAATCTACAGAATTCCTCACAGGCATGTCCAGAGGTTTGCCTCCTAGGTGATTTTTGATCTTGTGAAGTTGACAGTATTAACCATCACAGTTACTAAAGAAAGTTTTTTTCCTCTTGGTAAATGAGATCATGGGTGGTTCCTAATGTGTGCTTGAATAGGGTTCAGCTGATACAATAAAACCACAGGTCACAAGGGTTGCACGAGGGAACTAAGACATGTTTGAAGGTCTTGTTTGTGAGATTCCCAGATTACAGGTTTACAGCTGGGGAAGGAGAAGAGCCACATTTAGTAATAACACACAGAATTTGAGCATGGCTCATTTGGATTATAACATCCTTATTTGAAATATCCCTACATAAAAGGAGTATTGTCTCTATTTTGGCAACATTCACAGCAAATGATAATGGTGCTGGAATTCTTGACTCAGCTGGTGATAGATTCCAACCAAGCTCGAGGGATTCCTTCCCACATGCCCATAATTCTTCTTGTCTTTCTATCCTCCCTCAATTTCCCCCTCTGAGATTTTGATCCTTTAATCTTAAGGGTTGATGATGGCTAAAGATCTGTTTTCTCTGACTTCTACACTGTTGAACAGTCCAGTAGACCATGTTATTATAGATCAAAAGTCTCTACCTGTCTGATCTGAGGGGTCTGTCATGAGTAGGTCCAAGCTTAGAGACTGGAAGATCATCATTCCATAGGAATCTGGAAGAGAGGGTGTGATTGCTGGGGACATCAATTATATATAGTGAAGCATACAGTACATTATTATGCCCAAGACTAGGGCCAAAGGGCTGAGTCTTTTTTTTTTAAAATCATGAGATGTTCAAGGACTATAACCTAAGTAAATTGCTAAAATAAAGCAGATTTTGATATAGATTTGAGTATGTGAATCTTTGATGACTGAGGACACATTGCCCGAGTCCTCAGGTATGTATATTTAACACTCTACTTTAATGACAGCACAGGTTCCCCGTGTTGCTGTCAGACTATCAAGAGCCATCTGGTTGTAATATGGGCTGTCCTTGTTATTTTAATTTTTGAGTTTAGGAGATTCCATGGTGTTATATATATTGTATCACAATTAAAAACTTGAGGGAGGAGGAGCAGTCTGTAAGATACTAATGCTTTCAGAAATTTAAGAAAATCAGGGGCTGGTGAGATGGGTCAGTGGATAAAGGTATTTGCTGACTTAGTTCCATTCCCAGATTCAGCACCAACTCCTGTTTGTCCTCTGATCTCCACACATGCACCACTGCATGCATGTACACACACACACACAAACTTAAAAACATTTAAGGTGGCTAGTGAGATGACTCAGTGGTCAAAAGCACTTGCTGTGCAAGCCTGATGACCTGAGTTCAATCCCTTGAAAGCACATAAAGGTGAAGGACAGAAATGACTCCACCAGGTAGTCCTCTGGTACCCAGGTGTGTGCTCACTGCCCCCATAACTATAAATATAAAAATATTTACCTCTCAGTTGAAGTTCTAAATTCATAACAAACAAACAAAACCATATACAACGGCTGGCAAGATGGCTCAGCCAGTAGAGTGCTTAGCTCAGCCAGTAGACCTGAGTTCAGATCTCCAGAACCAATAAAAATGTTGGGTGTGGTGGGCTGGCTGTACCTGTAATCCAATGTTGGGAAACAGAGACAGGAGGATCCCTGGGGCTTGCTGGCCAGTCAGTTTAACCAAACCAGTGAGCTCTAGGTTCAGTGACAGAGCCTGCCTCAAAAAATAAGGTGAAAGGACTGAGGAAGATACCTGTATCAACCTCTGGCCTCCACATGCATGTGTGCCTTGTGCACTTATGCACGCACACACACACATGCGTGCACACACACATATACCACACACAAAGATTTTACACATATGCTTATGGCAACTTTATTCATAATTGCAAAACCATTTATTAACAGGTTAGTGGACAAACTGTGGTACATTCATTCAATGGAATTTTTTTAAACCAATAAAAATAAATTTTAAGGCCCAAACGAACAAGCAAGCAAACGAACAAATGTGGTCGAACCTCAAAGACATATTTCTTACTGAAAGAAGCCAGTGTGAAAAGGCCATACACCATGTGGGTTCCAACTGTATAACATTTTGGAAAAGGTAGAATTACAGTGATAGTAAAAATATCTGTAGTTGCTAAGGACCGGAGGGAGGAGAGGCAGGATGAATAGATGAAGCATAGGGTTTTGTTTTGTTATTTCTTTTCTTTTCTCTTTCTTTTTTTTTTTTTTTTTTCTTTTTTGAGACGGGGTCTCCCTGTGGCCCCAGCTGTCCTGGAACTTACTAGGTAGACCAGGCTGGCCTTGAACTCACAGAGATTTGCCTGCCTCTGCCTCCTAAGTACTGGGATTAAAGGCATGTTCCACCTTGCCCTGCTTTATTTTGTTATTTCTAAGAAGGGTTTTCACACTATTCTTTGTGTAGCTAGTATAATAGACATGTTTTTTCATTTATCAAAATCCAGAGTGCCAATGTAGCTCAGTGGGTCCAAGTCTGACGACCCACATGGGGGAAGAAAAGAATCAATTCCTGCACGTTGTCTTCTGACCTCCATGACACACATCTGCTCACACACACCAAATAAATGAATAAATACTTGTAACAAAATCCATAGAATTCAAATAATGCAAAGGCTGACTCCTAATGTAAATAAACTATAGACTCTAATCTTTTTTTAAGACAGGGTCTCTTAGTAGTCACTATGGAGACCAGGTTGGCCTCGAATTCACAGAGTTCCACCTACCTCTGCCTCCCGAGTACTGAGATTAAAGGTGTGTGCCACCATGCCTGGCCCTAGACTTAAAATTTTCCTTAATGTGTTATTATTGTGTGTATGCTGTGTATGTAGGTGTACACATGCCATAGTGCACATGTGGGGGTCAGAAGACCTGTGGAGTTGATTCTCTCTGCATTTTTACTTAGGTTCTGGGGATTGAATTCTGGTCATCAGGCTTGCACAACAAGTGCTTTGCCCACTGACCCATCATGCCAGTCCCAAACTATGGGTTTTAATTACAATGCATCTGCCTGGTGTGGCAACCCATGACTGTAATTCCAGCATTTAGAGGATGAGGCAGTATTGCCTTGAGTTCTAGGCCAGTGAGTTTGAGGCCAGCCTGAAATGAGACCATGTCTCAAATAAACAATAAGAACAAAAATAAGGTATCAATATTGGTTCATCAGTTGTAACAAGTATACCACAATAGTGAAAAATATTAAAAGAGGAATTCTGAAAAAGGAAGAAAGAAGAGTCACTTTCCAGAAATGTTTCTGGATTTTCTGTAAAGAGAAAACTGCTACACTGAGCATGATAGGGAGTCATCTTTGTATTATCATTACAGTATTGCTCACCTTGCTTTGGGTTGTAACTGAAGAACCCAATTAGGGAAATAGACCCAGAATGGTGTGGTCTACTAAGCCAGTACCCAGCCAGCCATAACTACATAGTAAGCCCCTGTCTCAAAAACAAACAAACAGGGCCTGGAAATATGGTTCACCAGTTAAAGGCACTGGCTGCTCTTCTGGAGGACCCAGGTTTGATTCTCAGCACCTACACGGCAGATGACACTGTGGTGGCTCCAGTTCCAGGGGATCTGAGACCCTCTTCTGGCCTCTGTGGGCATTGCATGACACGGGTGCATTTACCTACATGCAGGCAAAACACACATACACATAAAATAAGAATAATAAAATATTTTTAAAATTACTAGCAATAAAAAATTACTAGTGATGCTGAACGTTTTTCACATTAACGATTTTATTTTTCTTTGGATTATATGTAACCTTTGCTAATTTTAATGAAATTTTATGTGTATGAGTGTATCGCCTGCATGTATGTGAGCGCACCCACGTCATGCAATGCCAGAGTTCAGAAGACAGCTTCTGATTCCCTTGGAACTGGAATTAAGGACGGTTCATAGTCACAATATGGGTACTGGGAATTGAGCCCAGGTCCTTTGCGAGAGCAGTCAGTGCTCTTAACCGCTGAGCCATCTCTCCAGCCCCAGACCTTGAACTTTTGAGCCTCTGGTCTCCACCTCTGGAATGCTGGGATTACAGGATTGCACCACCAGGTCCAGTATATGAAGTGTTGGCTATGGAACCATTAACATCCTTATTTCTATTTTACAGATCCAGTGGTTTTGTAATCTGCAGCCACACAACTTTTAAATGAATATACTTTATTATTTTTATTTTACATGTATGAGTGCATTGCCTGCATGTAAGTGCACCCATTCCGTGCAATGCCCACTGAGGCCAGAAGAGGGCATTGGATTCATTTTGAACTGAAATTTGTAACGGTAGTTAGCTGCCATGTGGGTGCTGGGAATTGAACCCAGGTCCTCGTCAAGAGCAGCCAGTGCTCTTAACTGCGGAGCCATCTCTCCAGCCCAGCCACACAACTTCTAAAACGGCAGAGTTGGGCTGTAACCCAGCCCTTCTGTCTCTATAGATTCAGCAGTTAAGGACTAAGCCCTCTGGAGTGGTTTGCCTAGGCACTGTCATCCTTCCTCAGTTATCAAGTGAGTATTTTAAATGAATTTAGTTAGTGCTAGGCACGTGCGTCTCTTCTTTTTCTCACAGTTGGAAAAACAAAAACTAGAAAAACTCTTTTTCCTTCCGCTTTGCGACTCTTTTGGCCCCAGCCACGAGCCGTCGTCCGCGCTAAGCGTTCGCTGGTTGGGGTGATGGCGACCGGGACTCCGGATTCGCAAGCACGGTTCGGCCAGTCGGTGAAGGGGCTTCTCACGGAGAAGGTGAACACTTGTGGTACCGACGTGATCGCACTCACCAAGCAGGTGCTGAAGGGCTCACGGAGCTCCGAGGTGAGCCGGGCACAGACTCCCGGAGGCCAGTACACCCCACCGCCCCCTCGCGCCGGGAAGGGCATCGCATTGCGTCCTGGGGAGTGTAGGCCCAGGCGCGTGTTGCATTCTGGGTGTGTAGTCCTCTGATTAGCGTGAGCTGGTGTGGGAAGAGGTGATGTGATGGGAATCTGTGCTTTAGGAAGGGCAGAGTCCCAGGAAGGCGGGTGAGTTGCTGTTCCTAACCAATGCCTGTTTGCTCTCAGGGTGATGTCTAGTGAAGATCAGTTTTAAAAATTCTGCTTCGCATTTGCTCTCAGCGTCCCAGTTTCCTTTCACATCTTTGTGGATTTGTTCTTTATCTTTTTGGGCACATTCTTGATTGTGTTTCTGAGAATAGCTTTTTTCTTTGCCCTGCTTTTTCCCCCCTTGACTCTCATCTGATTCCATGAATAAAATAATGGCTTTTCTCACCAGAAAGCTTTATATAAGTACACTCTGCCCATCCCCTCCCCAACAGACCTATTGAAGTAATATAATATCTACTCTAGGAAGGTGAAAATGTGTGTCTACATAAACACATGTGCATGTTATAGCACGTTTCTTCATGAAACAACAATCTCCCATGCCCATGGACACGTGAATGGATGAACAAAATGAGACTAATGACCTAATCATTCTCTGGTATGTATTTACTAAGGGGAAATAAAATATGTGGTGTGCATGATGGGCAGGCTTGTAATATCAGCACTCGGGAGGCTAAAGCAAGAGGCCTGAACTACATAAAGGAACTGTTTTCAACATCTAAAGAACAAAAGGACTGAAGCTTTGCCCATGGCTTTGTTAGATAAACCACCCACACATGCAACACAGCTAAGACTTCCCGGTTTTGCTTTCTTTAAAGAGGAAGTCTTGAATACACCCCAAACCAATCCAAGCATATTTATCTTTTTAATTTTCATGAGTTTCCCCTGAAGACTTGTTCATTATGTGGTTGTTTCTTCTTCTCCTTCTCCTTCTCCTTCTTCTCCTTCTCCTTCTCCTTCTCCTTCTCCTTCTCCTTCTCCTCCTTCTCCTTCTCCTTCTCCTTCTCCTTCTTCTTCTTTCTTCTTCTTTCTTCTTTCTTCTTTCTTCTTTTTTTTTAGAGTCTTGCTGTGTAGCCCAGACTAGCTTAGAACTTACTGTGTAACTCAGGGTGGCCTTGAACTTGCAGTGATCCTCCTACCTGTTTCCCGAGTGCTGGGATTATAGGCCAGCCCTAGGCCAGGCTGTTTCTTCATACTTGGTGCTGTTATTTAACTTCTACTTTTTTTGAGACAGGATCTCCCTGTAACCATAGCTGGCCTGGAACTCAGTATATAGACCAGGCTGGTCTAAATCTCACAGAGATCCACCAGCCTTTGCCTCCATCTCGGGAGGACTGGGATTGAAGGCCTGTGCTGCCATACACAGTTAAAACTTCATCTTAACTATACATCATCAACAAGTGCTTCCAAATTTCAACTTAGTTTTCTTAGAAATAGCAAGTCTCTTTTTCACTCATGTATTTTCCTATGTAGTTTCAGGAATAGCACAGTTTATCCTCAGGTCTTTGAATGTGTGTGTGTATGTTCACAGCAGTTATCATATTAGTTTAGACCCCAGTAGACTAGTTCTTGCAGATTATTTTTAGTGCTGTGGACCTAATTTTAATGACCATGTCTGTTAAAAAAAGACAAAAAAATTCTCAACCATATAAGAATTTTGTCCTTACTGTATAACACAGTTGTTGATATCTCTGACTGGTGATCTTCTTTGTGTGTCTTTACATATGACATACTCTATAGGATTAGAATCGTTATGTTGCTTTAAAATTTTTTTTTTTTGGTCTTTTTGAGACAGGGTCTCTCTGCAGCCCCAGCTGGTCTAGAACTCACTATGTAGACCAGGCTGGCCTCAGTCTCACAGAGATCTACCTGCCTTTGCTTCAGCAGCGAGCAGCGCTGGAATTAAAGGCATGTACCACCATGCCTGGCCATGTTGCTTTTTTTTTAAAAAAAAAATTATTTTATATGTATGTATGTTTTACCTGCATCTGTATAAATGTACCTGTTGGGCAATGCCTTTGGAGGCCAGAAGAGACTGTCAGACCCCCTGGTACTGCAGATAAGGACAGTTGTTAGCTGCCATGTGGTTCTGGGAACCAAACCTAGTCTTCTGCAAGCGTAGCCAGTATTCTTAGCTGCTGAGCCATCTCTCCAACCCCCTTGCCTTTTCCAAATAATAAAAGTGACACATGGGTTACTAGCTGGTTAAGTAACCAAAAAAATTTCTGCTACTATTGGCTGCCCTAAAATGGTCTTCTACTTACCATTCCTAAACCTTAATTATTTTTCACGTGGGCTGCTTCTGTAGGAGATTTAGATGGGGAGCTCACTAAATAGTATGGATTAAATTAATCCAGCTTTCTGGGACAGGGTTGGCACATAGTCTCTCAATTCTCCAACTTTGTCTTTTACTGGATTTCTTTCATAGCACTTGTCACCTCCGCCATTTCCTTTACTAGACTGTGAGGTTGTTGGGGTATCATACTGACTTTCTACTTTATGATATTCATTTAATAAGCAATTTGGTATTCATTTAACATGTCTGCTATGTGCCAGGAGCTGTTCTAGTTACAAGGTTAAAAGTACTTAGGAAGCTTACTTTTTTTGGTGGTGGTGGTATTGGTGATTGAACCTAGGGCTTTATGCATATTGACCAAGTGCTCTACCACTGAACTAAATAGCCCCAGCCTCAAAGCTTACATTTGAAATGCAATAGATTTATGCACTCTGGAAAGAAGGCTGAGTAGAAGCTTACACTTTAGTGAAGAGACAGAAAATAGGCAACAAAACACAACTTAAGTGGTGAATAATTGATACAAAGAGCATAAATCTGGGAGTAGAGAGTGATGAAAGGTTAACATTAAACAGAAAGGGTCTCTGGGGAGTGACATTTGTGCTGACAGTGGAATGAGATACAGAGCAGACCTTATGACTATCTGGAGCCAGGGCACAGAGTATTAAGTGGAACTGTGGGGTGGAAGGTGTCCAAGGATTGGGAGGAGGTCAGGATGGCCAGTGCAGGAAGTGAGGAGCAGCATACCAACTTGGGCCCACAGCACATTGAGCAGGTGCTTGTGACTAACAAGCCCTTCTCTTGGGCACCTGCTGTTCCTCCATTTGAGTTGTATACTTGGTGAAGGTTGATGTGGGGTTTTGTTTGTGTTTTTATAGTGCTGGTTTGGAACCTAGAGAGTATACCAGGCAAATATTCTACCACTGAACTATATTCCCAGCCCCCTGTGGTTTGTCCTAAATCTCTGTGTGCCACGTGTGCTTGCTACCTCTACCATATCATTTATCTGTTGTGTGTGTATATATGTGTGTGTGCACATGTGTGCATGCATGTGGAGCTAGAGGACAGCCTTAGGTGTTGTGCCTCAGGTGCCATCCATCTTTTTTGCCATCTACCTTTTTTCAATTTTGAGACCAGTCTCTGGCTGGCCTGGAACTTAGCAAGTAGGATCTGCCTGGTCATTGAGCCTCAGGGATCTACCAGTCTTTGCCTTCCCTAGCACTAGGATTACAAGCACATGCCCCATAGACATGCCCACAGGCCACTCCAATGGAGGGAATTCCTCTATTGAGGTTCCCTCTTCCCAGGAGACTCTGGTTTGTGTCAAGTTGACAAAAACTGTGTAGCATGGTAGTCAAGCCTGGTATGTTTGCATCTTTACTGAACACATACAGACATTTTCCCTAAATACTATGTAACAAATTATATAGCTTTTACATTCTGTGAAGTATTATATGTAAGCTAGAGGCATGATTTCACACACCTGTAATTCCAGCTCTTGCAAAATAGAGGCACATCAGAAGTTCAAGATCATCCTCAGTTATGTAGTGAGTTTGAGGCCAGCCTGAGATCTATGAGACTCTGTCTTATAAAACAAAACATGGGATCTGTGTAGTGGCTGGGTTCTCAGCAGACCACTAGAGAGTGCCTGTTGCGCCTCCCTCTGGCATAGGGGCCGACTGCCTGAGAGTGCCCGGATCCTGCCTCCACATGTTGAAGCCTTTGAGAGGGAACTGACACTGATTCTAACCACTCCAACAAAATGCCTGACAGCAAATCCTGAATCCATCACTTTCGAGTCCAGCTTTGTCAGACAAAAGATAAATGAGAAGGAACCCAATAGAGGGATGCTTTTGGAAGCCCTTGTCAAGAAATTCCAATGGACTCTCATATGAACATTTGAAATTTGCCCTGTTCTGACTTTTTTCTAGTTCCCTGTCTAGAACTTGTAATGCTAATTACTCTTGCCTTTACTTCTCCTTCACATCTCCTATTCACCAGTCAAGGACATTTTTTTTCTCCATACAGATAAGAGTTATACAATTTGGGAGTCTTTTAGATAGACCCACTGAAGGGGTACCCCAATTGCCTCACCCTGTCCCTGTTCAGCATGAAAGAAGCCAGAGCAGTCTGCATCCTGAATCCCTATCCACAAGCTGGGTAAACTCTTCAGAGTATGGTGTGATAAGAATAGGAGGTAGGAATGGGCTAGGCAGTTAGGGCAAAAAGACCCCAAAGAAAAGTAGCCAGTTTATTGGCTAAAAGCCAAAATGTCCTTGGGCCTCTTAGCAACATACTCTGTTCCAAAGGCCAAAAATGTCAAAACTATTTGGGAGCTTTTATCTAATCCTTAAAAGATTTTAGGGTTACCTCTTCAGAAGGGGGAATGTTAGAGTAGCAAAAAGCCCCATTTAAAAAAAAGAAGAAAGAGTACATGAAGTTATCAGAAAAAAGTGATGGGGAGATATGGGAGGAGTTGGAAGGAAGGGAGTGGGCATGGGTTTGATCAAAACACTTTATATGCTTATATACCTGTTTGAAAATCTCAATAAATTATTATAAACAAAAAACCAAAACAAAACAAAATAAAACATGGGGCTGGGAAGATGGCTCAGTGGGTAAGAGTGCTTGCCATGCAAGCATGGGGACCTGAGTTTGAATTCCCAGTATCAGTGGAAAAAGCCAGGCATGGCTGTGCATGCTTGTAACCCCAACATTAGAGAGTGTTGACTGGTGAATCCAGAGAGCTTTCTGGCCAGCTAGTCGAGCTGGAACAGTGAATTTCCAGTTCATTAAGAGAGTGTCTCAAGGCATTAAGGCAGAGAGCAATAGATTAAGACACCTGAAGTCCTTCCCTGGCCTCTGCATGTGCACACTCGGGTGTGTGCACCTGCAGTCATATACATTACCACACATTCACCACGACAACACACATACACATACAAAATACATGCAATACTCATACCAAAACATCCACATATATAACATAACACACCAGATAGGTCACCACACACACTACACACACTACAAAATATACCACAACACATACTGCTCCCACATATACCACACAACACACCCACACACCACAACACACATCACAACATATATCACTTTCACATGCACCATCTGCCCATCTTCCACGTGGTGGTTTCCTACTCCAAGCCATGAAGTCCTGCTTTTTTTCCTTTCTCCCTTTGTAAGGTGGAGGATCAAACTCAGGGGTTTTGTGTATCCTGGGCAGTCGCTCTACCACTGAGCACTTCTCCAGCCCTTGAGCTAGTCCCATGCTTGGTCCTCCTGTTTCTGTCCTTCTACCCTAAACCCTGAATGTTTAGGTTGGGCTTTTTTTTTTCGGTCTTTTTGAGACAGGGTCTCCCTGTAGCCCCAGCTGGTCTGGAACTCACTATGTAGACCAGGCTGGCCATAGAGATCCGCCTGCCTCTGCCTCCCAAGTGCTGGGATCAAAGGTGTGCACCACCATGCCCAGCGGGTTTTTTTTGTTTTTGTTTTTGTTTTTGTTTTTTTTTAATGACAGGGTGTCATGTAGCCCAGGCTTGGAAACTCACTGTATAGCTGTAGATGACCTTGAACTTCTGATCCTCTTGCTTCCATCTCCAGAGTGCTAGGGTTACAGGTGTGTACCACCAAGCCAGTCTCAAGTTTGGGAATTTTGATCATTATTTTATTTTTGTCTTCCAGCTGCTAGGTCAGGCAGCTCGAAACATGGTCCTACAGGAAGATGCCATACTGCACTCAGAAGATGTAAGAAGCAATACCTTTCATGATTTGGGGTTTGTACACATGGTCTTCATGGCTTCAGGGAAGTGGAATATCCTGTGTGTCTCTCTTTTGTGCAGAGTTTAAGGAAAATGGCAATCATAACAACACATCTTCAGTACCAGTGAGTATGCCCCCTCCCGTAGTCACCTGTTGTGGAGTCCGCATCCCCAGCCTGAATTCATTTCTTTGTGCTTCAGCACATTTTCCCTTAGGGGTGGGACTTGGGTAGAAGTAGGGCTGGTCAAGGATACATTCCCTCTGGAAAGATGCCCGAGACTTTAGAGGAATTGGGGTGTGAAAGAGTGGGAGCTTTCCTGTATTGTCAGCGCTGTGTTTGGCACCTGAAAGTTATTTGATCAGTATTTGCTCACTCTCTGTGCTCAGTGTCTCTCCCTGGAGAGTCAAGTGTTCTGGTTACTTGTATCCTGCATTTCCACTTGTAGCGCAGCACTAGCGACATATAAGTCATTCCAATTCTGAAATCCAGAGATTGCTCGCTTATTATACTATTGAATAACTATAATTGAATTTCCTTTTCATCTTATTTCATCTTGTTTTATATTTTATGGAGTTGATAAGATGCTTACGTACCATTGGAAATAGATGGCTGGGAATTCAATTCTGATAGCTAATGTTGAAGCTGTTTGGGGGTTGTACATATTAAATATGTGCTATTGACCCCATGTCCTCATGCTAAATTTAAGCCACACATCTGGCTTGTTGGACTCTGGGGGAGTATCATTACCTCTGCAGGTTTACAGCTTTATCTTTTCAGCCATTCTTCACTCAGATGGAAATCCTTGTTCAATAGCACAGCCTTCCGGATAGAAATACAGAATGTGACATAAACCAAAAATTTGTTCTGCCTGTGTATATCTGTCCATAAATAACTTCTGTTGGTTCACTGAATTTTCTTTTGCTGATTTTCCTCTTTTCTGGTTTAGGCAAGAAGCTATTCAGAAGAAGTAAGTAAGCTCAAAGGTAGGGGTGGGGAACCAACTGGAGCCGGCAGGGAGTGATTTTAACTACTGTGCCCAGGATCAGTGAAAAACTGATTGACATTTTACCTTCAAATTACCATGCTCTGGAACAGCCCATTTAGAATGTAAAGAGCATAGTATATTTTAAAAGCATGCAGTAACCAAATTCACTGCCTGTTAAGGGTTTTGAAAAGTTGCAGGGTACAGAGGCCAACCTTAAGGAATAGAAATCCTTTTACATTGGTAAGATTCATTAAATAGAACAAAAGTGCTAAATTAAATAGCCTTATTTTCTTTTTTTTACCTTATTTTCTTAATTGAATTAAATTTTTGCAAACTTTTAAAAAATATTTTATTCATTATTTTTATTTTACGTGTATGAGTGTATTGCCTGCATGTATGTGAGTGCACCTGTGTCGTGCAATGCCATGGAGGTCAGAAGAGGGCATTGGATTCCCCTGGAACTGGAGTTAAGGACAGTCTGTAGCCTCCGTGTGTGTTGGGACTCAAACCTGGGTCCTCTGCAAGAGCAGTCAGTGCTCTTAACTGCTGAGCCATCTCTTCAGCCCAATTTTTGCAAAATTTTTATTAAAATTATTTTTATTTTATTTTATGTATATGAGTGTTATGACTGCATGTATGAAGTGCACCGATGTCATGCAATACCCACAGAGGTCAGAAGAGGGCATCAGATTCCATGGAACTGGAATTATGGAAGGTTGTTAGCTGCTATGTGGATGCTGGGACCTTAACCCAGATCCTCTGCAAGAGCAGCCAGTGCTCTTAACTGCTGAGCCATCTCTCCAGCCCCTCAAACTTTTTTTTTGTTTTTAAAGACAGGGTCTCTCAATATGTAAGCCAGGTTGGCCTTAAACTCTTGATCCTCTTGGCTTTACCTCATGAGTGCTGGGATTATAGGTGTGTACCACAATGCCCCTATGCAACCTTTTCTTCATAGTTTTCTCCCACTTTGAGATGGAGTCTCACTGTGTTAACCACAGTGGCCTCAAACTGTTAGAAGTGATCCTTTGCTCAGCGTTCTAAGCAGCTGGGACTAACAGGTTTGCACAGCTATGCCAGGTTCCACATTTAAATAAACATTTCTGGGGCCTAAGTGGACAAATAGAAACTTTGATTTAGTTGTAACAGTATTAGTGCATTAAAGTATAAATTGTATAAGGAAATGTCGTTTTTGCTCGTTTCAGATAATCTTTTTCTCTATTTTGATTTCTAGTGTTGAACAGTCATCTGATCTACAGGACCAGTTGAATCATTTATTGAAGTAGAATGGCATCTAACAGAGGAATTGTACTGCTTTGCTTGATGCTGAGGGGGAAATATCTTACACAGCAACAGGCTGTGTGTTTGAGTTTCCATTTTCATCCCCAAAATAAGCTAGACAACACTTGTGAAAAGAAGCTAGGTAGTTGAATTTTGGAATCACTTCCTAAACTGAACTAACTCATACTCTTATTGAACATTTAATTTGTTGTGTTTAATTCCATATTAAAAGAAAATCCATAGGTTCAATCCTTAGTACAAAAAACAAAACAAAACAAAACCCAACCAAAATTATAAGATATCTTAGTTTGTTAAAAGCTGGATTGTCCTTGAGCACATACTAATTTTTTTTAAGGTTCTCTATCCCTATGTAGCCCAGGCTGGCCTTGGACTCATAATCTTCTGCCTTAACCTCTTAAGTTCTGGGATTACAGTTGTGTACCACCATACCATACCACCATACCACCATGTGCCACTGAGTAATATAGTCTCAGTTGCTTGGAAGACTGAGGCAGGAGGATCACTTAAGCCCAGGAGTTTGAGACAAAATAGAAAAGGTCCATTTCAAAAAAGGAAAAGGAGGGAGGTGCTTCTAATAGGAACACATGAGAATGGTTAATATTTAAAAAGGCTTTTAACCATTCATTCAGGAATATGCTCATTTAATGGACACAGACCAGCGTTGGATAATGCCTGTAGTTTTTCTTTGTTGCAATAAATTCTTACATGAGAATTAGGCTAATGGAATCCTGTTTGACCAACTGCAGCCTCTTGCCTTGACCTGCATTCCTAGGGCTCTTTTCTTGTGACTCTTGATTAAGTGTCCTTGGTTTGTTTTGTAACTTATCAGCAAATTCACTTGTGTGACGTTATTGCCGAATGTGAAGGGAATTAAAGTTGCTGTAAATGATTGTGGAATAGAATTGTACCTAAATGATGACCTTAGGGCTTCTGGTTATTTACCTGTGCTCATCAGAGTCATCTTATTAAGTGTCATTACATTATCAGACAAGAACATTTTCTTAAAATGTCTTAGAACTTGAACCTAGTGCTTTGCCCGTATTATGCAAGTGCTCTACCATGGAGCTATATTTCCAGCCTTTGAAATGATCATTATCTGTGGTCATACTGGAATATCTTTGTTTGAATTTTAAATGGAACTCTATTGTGTTCTTGAATAGTTTTTCATTTACTAAAGAAGAAAGAAAACTCATAAGAAAATTATGATAGGAAAAAAGCAAATCCAATTAGAGCCAGTCCAATTTAATTCTTTCAGTCAAGCATATCAGATTACATTTCCCTCCTTCCCTTCCTCCCTCCCACCTTTTCTCTCTCTTGTTCTTTTTTTTTTTTTTTTTTTTGGGTCAGGGGCCCCCTTTACCCCCCGCTGGCCTGGTTTTGCTATGGAGACCAGGCTGGCCCCAAACTCACAGAGATCCACCTGCCTCTGCCTCCTGAGTGCTGGGATTAAAGGCGTGCATCACCACACCCGGCTCTCTTGTTCTTTTTTTAAAATTTATTTAAATAAATAATTTATTGAGAATATCATACATGCATATAAGGTGCTTTAATCAAATCCATGCCCACTCCCTCCCCTCCAACTCCTCCTATATTTCCCCATCACTTTTTTTCTGATAACTTCATGTACTCTTTCTTCTTCTTTGATTTATTTATTTATTTTTATGTGGCTTTTGGCTACTCTAACATTCCCCCCTCTGAAGAGATATCCCTAAAATATTTTAAGGATTAGATACAAGCTCCCAAATACTTTCGACATTT